GGGGGGGGTCTGTAGGGCCTGATTCTTCATCATCTTCATCTTCATCATCATATTTATCATCATTCAGCAACAAACAGAAAGAGCAGAGAGGAGAACCCCTCTGCTTTGTTGTTCAGCTGCTGCCATTGTTCCTCAGATCCATCACCCAGATCTGGGCTGGTTCTGGTTCTAGTTCTGGGTTTATTCTCTGGGAGGAGGAGGAGGAGGAGGAGGAGGAGGACGAAGGAGCTGCATCTCCTCCTCTCCTCCTCTTTGTTTGAACTTCAGATTCTTTGTTTTTATTCTCGGCAGCAAAGATGTCATCAGAGTCCAGCTTCAGGAGGACAATCCTGCAGCTGACAGTCCCCCAGGTCCACTGACACCATTCAGGGTTTTTCTTAACGAAGATGGAGGAAAGATGGGGGGGGGGGGAGATGATGGACGGGGAGGGACTGGATGTGACAGCAAAGGACGCAGGCCGGAGGAGACAAAAGGAGGAGGAGATTTTGTCTTTTTGTCCTGATGGTCAGGTTCTCTGCTGACAGGAGAGACGCTGCGGTTGATTTGTTGTTCTGACACACACACACGCACACGCACACACACACACACACACACAAACACACACACAATCTTTCCATTCAGTGTGTTTTCACTGCTGTTTTGCTTCTGCAGCAGATTTTCTGCTGAAAACTGTCAGAAAAATGAAACCAATCCGAGCTGATGTGGACCAGAACCTCTGATGTGGACCAGAACCTCTGACCTGATGCAGATCAGAACCTCAGCAGAGATCTGAGTTTATCGCAGCTCCCAAAAAAACTTCATGTTTCCAACAATCGTTGTCATTTTTTATAATATTTATGAAGGTTCTGTTGGAGGTTCTGTGTTCAGAAGGTTCTGTGTTCAAAAGGTTCTTTTCTCTCAGAGGAGGTGGAACAGATGATTCTGACTCAGCTTGGGTCGGGGATGACTGTCAGCTACTACCACTCCATTATGTGTAAAACGGACTCAGTTAGAGTGAGTTCAGTGTTTGCTTGGGCGGCCATCTTGAAGTGAATTGCCTCTCTGTGTGTAAATGAGCATCCACTGAATGTTTTGTACGAGTTTCATAAAATATTTGGTGGTTCATGAAATATTCTGCTAACAGGCTAAAACATTATCCCCCATTTTGATTTTGGCTAAACAAAGACGCAGGGATGTCCCAGATTCTTCAAAGTGTTTGGGTCTCGCTGTCCGGTTGGAGGAGGCTGGACCCGTGGATGAAGACTGAACATGAGGAGCTTCAAAATCAAAACAACAAAAAAAAAAATCTTTATTTTAATAAAAATAAAATGATGTTGAGACAAAAACTTACAAACCTGAAGATCAGACATGAGGAGGAACCGGAGGAACCGGGTGTGGTTTTTAGAACCTACAGCGCCACTGAGGAGTGAATGAAGGCTGAAGGTTAGAAGGACCAGCTGATGAGAGGAGAGGCTGCAGCTGAGACAGGTGAGACAGCTGAGACAGATGAGACGGGTGAGACAGGTAAGACAGAAGACAGATGAAGACAAACTGGATGAACGTCTGCAGCTGATTATCTTTTGGAGTCAACATGATTCAAGATGGCTGCAACAGCTCATCAACCTGAGCCAACACAAGAATGTTTAAAACTCAGTCAGTTTTACAGATTTGGAGCTAAACTCAGGTGTGGTAGTAGCTGAGAGTCATCCTCAGTGCAGACCCTGAGCGTGGACAGATCATGCATGACTTTGACTCTAACAAACGTCTTTATTTCATTAAATTCAACATTTGGAGTTAAATATTTGAGCATCTGGGCCTTACAAAAATGAGAACAAATAATTGAGTGGCGGTGGAGTTAGCTTGTGTTTGTGCCGAGCAGAGAAACGGCAGCTGCAGTGAAAGAAATACATAAACTCAGCTGCAGCTGTAAATGGTGAAACATCAAAATGTCTCTGAATTAATAAGATCAAACTCTTCCCAGATGAAGCACCCAGAGACGTAATTCATCCATCGTTGTTTTGATGTTTATGTTTTTAATCACTTGAGACCAAATCAGACCGACTCTAAAATGTTCCTGAGTTCTTTCTGACAGCAGCTGCTGTCCGTCTGCGAAAACATCTGCATGTCATCAGTTATCGTCCTATCAGTTCAATTCAGTTCATTTATAAAACTCCAAGTCACAACAGAAGTCGTCTCAGGGACTGAACAGAAACATTCAAATATAAAATAATAATTTAACGTTATTTATGTGAGGAGCAGCTTTGAGTTTAACTCCATCACAGAACTCTCATCTTGAACAAGCATGAAGGCGACAGTGGAAAGAAAAAACTCCTTCATGAGGAAGAAACCTTTAGCAGAACCAGGATCAGGACAAGAGGACCATCTGCTTCAACTTGCTGGGTTTGAGAGGAATAGATACACAATGGCAGGTCAAGAATCACATGTTAAGATAGAAATAGTATCAAATGAAAACTATTCAGTTTTAACAATTAATTTAAGGAAATGAGGTGACGATCTGTGAGCAGCCGTTTGGTTTCATGCCAAGAAAGAGCACCACAGACGCCATCTTTGCTTTGAGGATGTTGATGGAGAAGAACAGAGAAGGTCAGAAAGAACTCCATTGTGTCTTTGTGGATTTAGAAAAAGCATCTGACAGGGTGCCGAGGGAGGAGGTGTGGTGCTGCATGAGGAAATCTGGAGTGGCAGAGACATATGTTAGACTGATACAGGACATGTATGAGGACATGTATGAGGACAGCAGGACAGTGGTGAGATGTGCTGTAGGAGTGACAGATAGATTCAAGGTGGAGGTGGGAGCGCATCAAGGATCGGCTCTGAGCCCCTTCTTGTTTGCTCTGGTGATGGACCGACTAACAGATGAAGTCAGGCAGGAATCAAGTGGACGATGATGTTTGCAGATGATGTGACCTGTGGTGAGAACAGGGAACAGGTGGAAGAGAACTTGGAGAGGTGGAGGTATGCACTTGAAAGAAGAGGAATGAAAGTCAGCCGTAGTAAGACAGAGTCCATGTGTGTGAACGAGAGGGAGGAGGTGGAACAGTGAGGCTACAAGGAGCAGAGGTCACAAAGGTGCAGGACTTCAAGGACTTGGGGTCCACTGTCCAGGAACATGGAGAGTGAGGTAAAGAGGTGAAAGAGAGAGTCCAGGCAGGATGGAGTGATGGAGAAAAGTTTCAGGAGTGATTTGTGACAAAAGGGTGTCAGCAAAGTTCAAAGGAGAAGTTTACAAGACAGTGGTGAGACCAGCTGTTGTATGGTCTGGAGACAGAGACATGGACAAAAAGACAGGAGACAGAACTGGAAGTAGCAGAAATGAAGATGTTGAGGTTCTTCTTAGGAGAGACAAGGATGGAGAAGATCAGGAATGAGCTCATCAGAGGTACAGCACAGGTTGAACAACTGGGAGATGAAGTTAGAGAGGACACACTGAGATGGTTTGGACATGTCCAGAGGAGGGACAGTGGTTTGGACATGTCCAGAGGAGGGACAGTGGTTTGGACATGTCCAGAGGAGGGACAGTGGATATACTGGTAGAAGGATGTTAGAAATGCAGCTGCCTGGAAAAAGACAGAGAAGATATATGGAGTTAGAGAGGACATGGGGGTAGTTGGAGTGAGGACAGAGTGAGATGGAGGAGGACGACTGTGGAGACCAAGAAGAGGGAAAAGCTGAAAGAAGAAGAAGAAGAAGAAGGTTTTAAGAAAATGAGGTAAATTTGTCCTCTAGTAGTCTAAGTCTATAGCAGCATAACAAGCCAACCCTAACTATAGGAATTATGAAAAAGGAAAGTCTTAAAACTGGATAATGTGTCAGCCTCATGGACAGAAACTGGAAGTTGGTTCCACAAGAGAGGAGCCTGAGAACTGGAAAATCTTCCTCCCATTCTGCTGCTGGAAACTCTAGGAACCACAAATAAACCTGCAGCCTGAGAGCGAAGTTCTCTGTTAGGAAAAGATGGAACAATAAGATCTGTAATATAAGATGGAGCTAGGTTGTTGAGAGCTTTGTAGGTTAGAAGTAAGATTTTGAATTCTATTCTGGATTTGACAGGGAGCCAATGGAGAGAAGCTAAAACTGGAGAGATATGATCTCTCCCAGTAACTCCAGTTAAGACTCTGGCAGCAGCATTTTTGGATCAACTGAAGACTTTTTAAAGAAGTATTTGGACACCCAGATAATAAACCATTGCAATAGTCCAGTCTAGACGTGACAAATGCATGGACCAGTTTTTCTGCATCATCTTTAGATCAGATGTTTCTAATGTTAGTGATATTACGCAGGTGGAAGAAGGAGGTTCTAGTAACGTTTTTAATGTGGGGGATAAAAGACGTGTCCTGATCAAAAATAACACCAAGATTTTTAACATTAGAGCTGGAGGACAGATTAATGCATCTAAGGAGGGAGAAAGACTGAAACATTCATTCCTAAGGTGCTCAGGTCCAAAAACTCAAACCTCCTAAACACCTGCATGTCATATATCCATCCATCCATTATCTTTTACCCCCTTCTTCCATTTGTCCAGCAATCACTGTGCGAGGGGCGGGGTACACCCTGGACAGGTCTCCAGTCCATCACAGGGACACATAGAGACAAACGAGACAAACAACCATTCACTCTCTCACTCTCACCTTGGAACAATTTAGAGTTACCAATCAGTCTAACATGCATGTTTTTGTTCTGTGAGAGGAAACTGGAGTACCCAGAGAAAACCCACACATGCACAAAGAGAACATGCAAAGTCCACACAGAAGGGCCCCTGGACCGGGATTTGAACCGGGGACCTGCTCTCTGAGAAGCAGCAGCTCTAACAGTTGCGCCATC